ATCCCTTCTGTTTGGGCAACAACCTTCGCAGCAGCGTTGAAATCTCCTTTCCTCCAGTGACCAAGGATTGCTCTGGTAACAACTGCGTAAGTCCTACTCCTCCTCCTCTTCCTCCTCCTCCCCCTTTCCTCCTCCACCCCCTTCCCCTCCTCCTCCAACACACCTTTCCCTTCCTATCCTCGTCCTCCTCCTCCTCCTCCTCAACCATCACCACCACCACCAACACCTCCTGCACCCCCCCACCCTCTCCCTCCCCCTTTCCAATCCTCCTCCTCACGCTTTTTTCCTCCTCGTCTATCTCCTCCTCCACCTGTGAGCTTCGAGGCTCTTGTTGAGGTTTGCTCGCATGTCTTTGCTCCGTTCCATCAGTCTCTTCAAAATCTGAAGAAACGTGAGAGATGAGAGGAAGGGAGAAACGAAGAGGAGACGGGAAACAGGACAAGGGAGGACATAGGAAGGGGAGGACGAGGAAGAGGAGAACAGGAGGGATAGGAGGGATCGGAGGTATAGGAGGGAAGTGTTGGGGAGAGGAACAGAGTAAGCATCACTTGTTTTTCGTTCTTCTTCTGATCAGCTTCAACTTTGTTCGGCATCCTGTCTTGCCGGTGGACAGCAGGGGAGGACGAGAAGGAAGGAGGGCCAGGTGCCAACTGGGCCTCTTCCTCCTTGTTGTCGGATGAGATCTGCAACTTGAACAGTTGATTCATCTTCTCTTGGACCAGCAGCTCTCGAGTCTTGTCCGCCGCAGCCTCCTCCTCCTCCTCCATCGAGCTCTTCAGTTCAACTTTGCCGCTGACTACATTCTTTCTGTCTGCAATCACGCTCGTCCGTTCCTCCTCCTCCGTTCTACAGCAAACGTCAGGAGACGAGGATGTACATCTTCACTTGAATGCTCGCCGACCTCTTTGCATTCTCTTGCAATGAAACTTTTCTTGCATCGGATATGACCTCGTCTTCACCTGCTTGTTCATGCTCACAGATGGAAACAGTGAAGGAGAAGATCGCACTCTTCTCCACGTGCATGTCTTGATTACGAGGGTCATCTTTTTCTGTCTTGTTCTGCAGCATCGTCGAATCCTCAAAGTTCTCCTTGTTACTTGTTCTCAACGGTCCAGCTACATCATCTCTCTTCTCTCCTCCTCCTCCTCCTCCTCCTCCTCCTGTCACTTCAACCGATGGGTCCAAATCTGCCTGATCTCGCATCCTTCCTTTCTCCATCCCTCCCCATTGCCGTTGTAGGTTTGACCATTTCTCCTGACGTTTTGGACTCAGCGAAATAAAGTTTGACATCGACAAAGGCGATTTGACATTCTCGTCATCTCAGAATTTCTCGCCGGAGTTCTCCTCTACTCTTCTCCATCATCATCATCTCCATCATCATCATCATCATCATCATCATCATCATCATCATCATCATCATCATCATCATCATCATCATCATCATCATCACCCTTTTCATCTCACTAGCAACTCGCCATCGTCACCTGCAAAGTTTTCGTAGGGTCGGCTCCCTTCGTGACCTGCGCCGCGACGTTCGCTCGCGCCTTCTGAACGCCATTGTTCGCGTCCCTCCTTGAACTCTCACTCGACACGCCTGCATCAGCTCCGTTCTGCCGAGCAGAGGGAGAGGGGGAAGATCGTTGCTCTAGAGCCTCCCGCTCTTTCTTCGCCTTCACCTAACGTTTATCTTCGTCACGTTTCTCCCATCACACTAGGAAAGTGAAGTACATCTCCTGTAAACTATCTCGCAACGCAAACTCGTCTAAGATACATCTTTCGCTATCTTAGCACATGATTCTTTCAGCGCTACATCACAAGGGTTGCTAGATCGATCTACCCATCGCTGCTTTACCTGAGCAGCAAGGAATGCTTTCTTCTGCATTTCCATCGCCTCCTTCTTTGCCTTCTCCTTCTCTGATGTTCGGTTGTCTCTTCCGTCGTCGTCGTGTGAGCCCTCCAACCTTGAAGTCGCTTCTATCAACACACGTCAATCGATCGTGTGCGACTGAAACTTCTTCTCACTCTCAGAATCCTCTGCCGAATATGATGGTTCTGTACGCCAAGGATGTATCTCTGTCAGGTTGAGCGCCCAGACTTGCACAAAGCACTGATTGGTCGTGCAAGCAACGATCTAGCAACAAGAGTCATTGACATGAACATCCACAACTCACGCTGAAAGTTGAGGAGGTTGAGAAGGAAACTGATCGGTCAAGCACGTCTACAACCTGAGATGCCGAGTTGACGCACATATCAGCAACGGACGTCCATCCAACTTCTACACTGTCCAAAGGCTGGCATGATGGCTCATACTGCCAGACCTGCTCTCTACATGTCACGAACCAACAGAACAGTGAAGCGATTGCCTTGAGATAATCTCCTGTCACTGACAACACTGCTTGTCCATCGGGAGAGAACATGTTCTCTAAGATGCCCATTCCTTCAGGAGGAGTTGATCTTAGTGTCTGGTGATAGAGATCATGTCAGGAATGTCGTAAGAGACATTGAACTAGTGCAAACATAGCAGACACCTTGAGTTCGTCAAGATCGATGACTTTGATCGTGCGGTCCATACTGCCACTGATCTGTTTTCAAGTTTGCAACAGCATCGTCATCTACTTCCTACGGTATCTCATCATCCAAATTGTCACCATGACTAACTCAGAAGGATGGAAGTCAAGGGAGGTTATAGGTCCTTCGTGCTGCCATAACGCTGCGTGACCACGTTGCGAGTGAGGCTCTTCATCTCTTTCACCTCGTACTCGCACAAAATCTTGCCGGCTGTCAAGTCCCATAACTTGACTTGCCCATCTTCCGAGCCTACGAGATTGAAACCATCGCATCGTGATCAAAACATCATCAGGTTTGACTCTGAACTCACCCGAGACGATCCACTTGCCGTCGGGGCTGAAACGAACGGCAGTGACCCCTTGTAAGTGACCTTTGTACGTTTGAATGCAGGCTTTCCTCCTGATATCCCATATCTAACATGTAGTTCAGTGATACCTCACCCAACAACTGCAAGAAAAACAACTTTTTCATCTCAGAATTGCTTACCTTCAAGTTTGTGTCAAGTGACCCTGATGCAAAGAAAGCGCCGTAGGGGTGGAAATCGACAGACAGACAATCTGTTCTATGTCCCAGCAACGTTCGAATAGCTGGCAATAAACGATCAAATTTCAGCAAACAACATCATTCTACACCATCTTCCCTGCTACTCATCGCAATCATCACCATCACTATCACCATCACCATCACCATCACCATCACTATCACCATCTCCATCTCCAAGATATTCATCATCATCTCATCATCATCATGCCATTCACCTTTTCCTTGGTCGAGATCCCACAGTTTGATCGTTCCACTCGAAGAGCCTCCAACAATCACCTCTTCTTGCCCGTCGAAACAAATGCTTTCGGACGAAGTGAGATGATAGAAGGAACAGAGGAGTATGATCAGACAGGGTGTGATGATAGAACTCCGGAAGAGTGAAGGGATAACAAATGTGTTCTCAATCTTGTTTACCTCGTCACTGGGGACGTGTGCCCTGTCAGACTGAGGACAGCATTTGGTTTCCCGAGCGCCCAGACATTCACCTTGACAAGGTCAACATTACCATTGAAAATGTATTTGTGCTGTCACTTTCTCACCTTTCTATCTGATCCTCCAGTGGCTATGACCTGGTCGTGCGATCAGCATGGCGACAAACGCAGATCATTCTTACCTTGCACGAGTTCCTTCCCACGTGAACGCAATGCACGTCACCATTGTGAGCAGCGAATTCCTCTGCGATGGAGGGAGCATGAGGGTCTATACTGGTGTGACATCGCAAACTTACGGAATTTGAACGGAAGTCCGTTCTTGCTCGGCATGGTCACTAATGAAGAAAATTCTCGACCATCTACTAGAGACATGTCACAAACAATCTCTGAGGACAGTCTCTTCGATCATTGAGCTAGCATTCTATGCGCTGTCATGATCGTGTTCGAGTTCGTTTCTCTGCCATTCTACCCCCTCCGTCCCTTTCTCCCTCTCCTCGTCCTGCTTGACCCATTGCATTTTTCTATGAAATTTGCAATCAGCCCCCACCCCCACACGAACCACCATCACCCCCACTTTTCAAATATTACCCCTATTTTGATGTTGAAGTACCCCCTTAATTTCCCGTCTGCGTATCCCTCGAGTTCTGATGACCCCTACTCAGACCACCCTCACCTGCTCCTTCAAACTTCCCGCCGTTTCGGTGTCTCCCATCATCTGCGGCACTGTGGTATTGACTATTGATATATATAGTCAATATTTGTTCTCGAAGCAAGGATCATAGTCAACATCCCCTCAGTCTGTTTTAGTCAACACGTTTATAGTCAAGTGAACAAAGGGCGTCTCTTCATGGTGCCGTTCTTTGGAGATGGAGATGGCGAAGGAGGAAGAGAAGAAGAGACAGATGAGGAGACAAGAGGAGCAGACAAGAGGAGGAGGGAAGAGGAGGGAAGAGGAGAGAAGAGGAGGGAAGAGGAGGGAAGAGGAGGAGAGGAGGGAAGAGAAGGTGAGAGGGAGATCAAGAGAGCAGGAGACGAGAGAAGGGGAGAACTTGAAGAGGAGGGGAGACGAGAAGAGACGAGAAGAGAGAAACGAGAGAGGTGAAATCAATGCAAGAAAAGTTAGTATGAAGTAATGCAAAACAGAGATGAGGTTAGGAAAAGCAGAGAGCGAGCATATATGACATAAGATATGCGGTTTGTTGAGTAGAAGTTGTCGTTCGACTCTATTGATGTGCAATATGCATGTCACAAAAATTTTCGTGAGCTGACAACTTACCAGGATGCCCTGCATGTCCTTCTGAGCAAGCGACTGTTCAGTGAGATGCAAGGATCCGTGCAGCTTCCGACGCACATGCAGACTGTGAGAAAGGTAGACAACCTCCTCCTGTGAAGAAGACAAAGAAATTGATTCCCTTTGTCACAGGGGAAGGAAAAAATTTCAACTGCATTCAACGGGCTCATAGTCGCTGCATCCCTTGCTGGCCTCGTAGCTGTTGTCTGCTTCTCTCCCCATGGCAGCACAAGACCAGATGTTCTCTCCTCCAGGTTCCTCGACGTGAGATCGCTGGAGAGGCTAGCGGCGACGGGGCTGCCCGTGAAGAAGGCCAGGACCCAGTCCTTGGCTGACGTTTCCAGCAGCAGCTCGAGCGGAGGTGATGACGTCATATCTGGAAGGCTGGCGAGGACAGGAGGGACTGTTCAGCTGGAGGACTTGTCGGAATCTAACCCAACAGCCCAGCAGCTGTACTCTCCGGCGACTGTCAGCGTAGGAGGAGCAGGAGTGATCCAGCCCCTGGCCCACATGGCTCCGCTAGCTGACTGCACACAGCGAGGATGCGTGCAGAGGGTGCCGAGTGTCTCTGCTGCCCCGGGGAGGCTGGCGGAGGAGGAGCACTACATCACTGACCTCCCGGCTCAGTATCCCCTGCAAGCAGCCCAGCTCACTACGATCAAGTTGCAGCCCGAGATCAAGTCGTCGCTCAAGGAACTACAGCAGAGCGCGAAGTTGAACTTCGAGGGAGCCAAGGAGGCGATGTCCAACATACAGCGTCGCATCGATCGAGATGAGAAGAAGGTCGATGACCTTGAGTCCACTGCCTCCAGCCTGAAGGAGCGGACCCGACGGCTTGTCCGGCAGCTGGCGAGGCTGCGGGAGGAGAAGAAGCTGGCGGGGCCCCAGGGCAAGCCCGGCAAACCTGGTCCTCCCGGTATCCCCGGCAGTGAAGGAGTTGGCGCTCCTGGGTTGGAAGGACTGCCAGGGGCCCCTGGTCCTACAGGACCTAAGGTGACTCTCCTCCTCCTCTTCCTTCCCCCCCTCCCCCCCCCCCCTCCCCCTTCCTCCTCCTCATCATCATCATCAACCTCTTACTTCTCCCCAACTTACTCACCCCTCCTCCTCTTCCTTTTCCTCGCCTCGCCTCCTCCACTCTTGACAAAGAGCAAGGAAGTAACACGCTTCTGCAGGGACGAACTGGCCCACCAGGACCTCCGGGAAGGAGAGGTGATGGAGGAGGAGGAAGGCCAAGGAGGGAGAGGAGGAGGGAGAGGAGGAGGAGGGAGAGGAGGAGGAATCTCACTTACTGTTATCGGATGCAGGGCCTCTTGGAGTCGTGGGGATGCGGGGCCCTCCGGGCCTGCAGGGACTGCGGGGACTTCAGGTTGTTACTAGAGCTGACTGCGTGACTTCAGTGACTTGTCCATGCCAGGGCCCGCCCGGCCCGACGGGTCCAGTGGGACTGCCGGGGCCCGTGGGTGCAAGAGGCATCATGGGACCTGCTGGCGCGCCAGGTTGTTTTCCTCTCCTCCTGCTCCTCCTCTTCCTCCTGCTCCTGCTCCTGCCTCTCTCTGCAGCATCCAAGGATATGCCCTTGCCGCATCCTTCCTTCGTCCCTTCCTCTCTGTCTCTTCGTCGCCTTCCCTCCCTTCCCCTCCCTCCCTCCCTCCCTCCCTCCCTCCCTTCCTTCTCCCGATCTCTCGCTGCCTCCTCCTCCTGATGCCAGGATTGCAGGAAAGAATGGCGTCAGAGGAATCCGAGGTCCTCCGGGCGCTCCCGGTAAGACGTTCGCTCCTCTTCACCAGCTCCTCTAACGTCTCGTAAGGTGCCACGGGCTCCGATGGCCCCATGGGCCCTCGCGGCCCCATCGGTCAACCTGGACTGCAAGGAGCTCCGGGCATCAGCGGCGATCAGGTAGTGCAAGTGCTACCTTCTCCTCCTCCCTCCCACTCCTCTCCCTCCCCCTCTTCCCCCTCCCCCTTCCCCTCCCTTCCCCTCCCCTCCCCTCCCCTCTCCTCTCCTCTCCTCCTCTCCTCTTCTCTTACTTGCCTGATCTTTCCTACTCGCTTCCCTGAACTCGTCCGGGGCGAGGTCACTGAGTGTTACCCCAGGGCCCGCCGGGTGTCCCTGGCATCTGGGGAAGACAAGGGCCGCCGGGGCTGGCCGTAAGCCAGCACATTTATATAGTGCGACACTAAGATAAACTACCTCAGGGTCCTCAGGGTCCTCCCGGCCCCCCAGGAACTGCTGGACAGGTCAGACATGCAGCAATGTGAAGAAGGTAGCTGACGGTCTTTGCAGGAGGGAACAGCTGGAGTAGCAGGGTATCCTGGCACTCCAGGTCGAGGAGGAGGAGGAGGAGGAGGAGAAAGGGGAGGATTGGTTTGAGGAGGAGGAGGGCAGGATGGGGAATCTGAACTAGGGGTATGGGTTAAGCAGGAGGAGGGGGAGAGGGAGCTGGAGCTGACGAAAGGGGACAGGACTCATCGGTGTGGTCGGAGCTCCGGGGATGTGGGGACAGCAAGGAGAGCCTGGGACTCCGGGTAATTCCCTTATGTTGCTTCCTCCTGTTTCCTCTTACCCTCCTCCGTTAAGGTGTCGGCATCAAGGGAGCCAAAGGAATCGCCGGCGTTAGAGGAGCCGCAGCCTCGTCCGGGGTACTACTCTCCCTCTCCCCCTCCCTCTCCCACCCTACCTCTCTCCCTCCCTCTCCCTCTCCCTCTCCCTCTCCCTCTCCCTCTCCGCTTCCTCCCTCTCCCCCTTTCCTTTCCCTTTCTGCATCCTCCCAGTCCCCCTTCCCTTCCTCCTGCTACAACTCCTCGTCCTTCCCTCCCTGGCCCCCCTCACCATCCTTCCCCTCCTCCTCTTCCCTCTGCGAGCAAGGGGCTGACGGTGACTCAGGCGCCCGGGAGCCCTGGAGCCAACGGGACCCCAGGAACGGCAGGAGCGCCAGGAGCCAACGGAGCGCGAGGGATGCCAGGAGCTCACGGAGCCCCAGGTGAGAGGAGAGGAGGAGAAGCTAGAGATGGGCGGGCAGCGAGGGAGGGAGGGAGGAAGAGAGGAAGGGAGGGAGAGAGGTGGCAGGGTTGGGTGGAAGGAGGCAGGCAGAGGAGATGAAAGAACGAATGGAGTAGAAAGGAACGAGAAGTTCAGGACGGAAGGAGACGGAGGGGCAAGGCGGAAGGCAGAGGAAGAAGACTTGTGTTTTCAAGTTTTTGGTTTTGTTCGCTGAGAGTCTCTCATGCTTGCGCTGGCATTTTCTGTGCTCATTCATGTTCAAACTTCAGGTTATAACGGTCGCAACGGAGTCGCGCACGGCTGCAACTACAGTTGCCTTCGAAGATACGGACATTGCATGTGCTGATTCGCCAACAACGGATCGATTTCTTTCTTGTACCTTGCTGATTTCTACTCAAATTTTCAAACCTACATCACTGTTTTTTTCAAGTTCAATCCACTGTTTTCATCAATGTCCCTGGAATCTCACCTCAGTTTCACTGATGATTTAGGGTACCAGCCAACATTCGAGGCTCCTCGAATTTTCTCACATCGAACAACATTCATTCATACAACATGTTGCCTCCTCCTCCCCCTCCCTCTTCTCCTCCTCCTGATGATCTTTCTGCTCCACGTCCTCTTTCTCCTCGTGCTCCTCCCCTGTCGCTCTCCTTCCTTCATCTCCGGTCACTCCACACTCTCGACCTTGGCGAAAGGTACGAAGACGCATCCTCATCCTCCTCAGCAGCAGGCTGCGGCAGTACAACAATCAGCTTCCTCCCTCCCATCCCTTCAGCTCACCAGGTAGCAGAAGAGTGAAGGAAGTCGATTCCTAGCATCGAACGCGTGCGGGTCCCAACCCTCCCTCGCCCTCCTCGCGTCCCGGAACAGATGGAACTCCCCGTTCATCCCCTACACCTCCTTCAGCATACGGAGACAACACCCTGCTGATGGTTTCCTGCTCCTGCTCCTGCTCCTGCTCCTGCTCCTGCTCCTGCTCCTGCTCCTGCTCCTGCTCCTGCTCCTGCTCCTGCTCCTGCGCTACCTGCTCATCCTCCTTCTCCTCCTGCCCCTCCCTCCTCCCTTTCCTTTCTCCTTCCTTCCATCCCATTGTACCCTCATCTTTATCCTGCCCTCCTAAGCCTTGGCCTCATCATCCACACAATCTACTGAATTTCTACTTAACCCCTCTGTCCTTTCCCACTGCTCCCCCTGCTCCTCCTTCCCCCCTGTTCCTCTTCGCTCCTCCTCCTACCACTACTACTACTACTACTACTACTTTTCCTCCATTACCGTCGAGTAAATGCCCCACGTGTTCGTCAAGACCCATCGGACTGCAGCAATCCATCACGACCAGATCATAGCGATGCGCCAAGGGGCGAAGCGAGAAGAGAAACAGCAGCAGGAGGAGAGCGAGGAGGAGAGCGAGGAGGAGGATGTTACCTCGCCAGCAGTTGCCATCTCCGAAGTGATCTTCCACCAACATCCCTGGCCCCGTGTCTCCTGGTAGTCTGCCCTGCCCCGAGAGCACGAAGTTCTCCACGTCCAGGGCGACCAGCGCACCTCGACGGGCATGTTGCTTCGTGACCTGAAGGAGAGCGAGATGTCAGTCCACTGGAGATAAGGGAGGAAGAGAGGGAGAACAGCAAGGACAGCAAATACAGTAAGGATCAGGAGAAGGGGAGGCAGGACGAGAAGGACGAAAAAGATGACGAGACGGAGGCGAGGAGGAGAGGAGGAGGGCAAGCAGCAGGTAGACTTACCTTCTCGGTGCTGATATGCTCTCCCTGACAGTCCTGCTGCTCCCCGAGATTCAGCGGAAGAGGATGCGCAGACAGAGCTATCACCTCCTCCTCCTCCTCCTCCTCCTCCTCCTCCTCCTCCTCCTGCCGCCGCTGCCTGGTGCCGTTTGTCCCTTCAACAGCCTCCCCCCGTTGTTCCTCCCCGTTCAACTTCGGCTCCTTCGCCTTCGCATCCTTCCCTCTGACCCACCAGCTGAATCTGCTCCACATTCCCTTCCTCCTCTACCGCCAACGTGTCAACTCTGACAACACAACACAGTAAGGATACCTGTACAGCCCTTCTGCTGCTGCAATGCTCCTGCACAGGGTGCTCTCCATGTGCGAGAAACTCGCCGTTGTCGACCAGGACAGTCAGCCTCTCCTCTACGTCCTTGTCCCTCCTGCCAAAGTCGTTGGCGCATGCTCTGACTACTTTTGTCGGCCCTTCCTCAAGGGAAGGAGAGTCCCATGCTCGTCGAGGTGGCAGCTCTAACGATCCTCCAAAGAGTCCTTCCTCGTTACTAGCATGTTCCTCATGTATTCTCCGGCGAAACAACACCATCTGGGCCCATGTCGTCAGCATTTTCTCTTTGTCAGGATGAAGATGAGGAGGAGAGGAGAGGAGAGCTTGTGGCATTGGGACAAGAACTAGGGGAGAGAAATTAAGAGAGAGGAGCTACTAGAGATGAACAGAAGCAGGTGACGCTCGCAAGATAAGAAAACAAGAGAGATGATAGGTAGAAGCTGAACACGCTCTCCTGACCTCGCCTCCTCTCCCCTCTAGCTCCTCCCTCCTCCCTCCTCCCTCCTCCCTCTTGCTCCTCCTCCCTCCCCTCCTCTCTCTCCTGCATGCTCAACGGAATGCGTTGATTTCAGGTTGGGCGGTAGGGGGTGGGTAGGGGTGGGTAGGGTACAACTTGGGTGTGAGCGGGGGGTACTGTAGAGGCCGTGAAAGGGCCAGAGTACTCCCAAGTACCCAGCAAACTCAGTAAAACTGAGGGGGTAGGGTAACTTAGTAAGGTGAATGATTTTGAAGGGTCCTTTTACCCACAGGGGATGGCAGGTCGGGGTGGGTGGGGTAGAGGGTAGGGGGTAGGCGTGGGTAGGCGTGGGTAGGGGTGGGTGATTGATCGGTACAAGAGACGGCACGGCCCTGGGTCCGATCGGAGCCTGGGGAGGGCAGCGGCTAAATGGGGGGTGGGGGTAGTAGAATCATAGGGTACGAAGAGACTTCAACGCAAATGGCTCATATATTACCCCTATACAGAATTATTGATGAGGGGGGTAGTAATGACAAGGGTGGGTAAAATCATGGGGGTGCGGGTGATGTGGGGGTAGGGGTATAAAGAGGGTGGTCGAGGGATCACTGAGTTGAGTCTATCTCCTTAGGAGGTCAGGGTGGGGATGAGGGTAAAGGTTCTGCGCCCAATGCAAGGGAGGAGGCATACGAAGCCGCACCGGAGGGAGGAGAGGGAGGGAGGGTGAGGAGGAGGAGAGAGGGAGAGCATGCACAAGTGAGATCAGTCCATGGACAACTAGGAGATGAAGAGGAAGCTGCATCGTGCATCGGACTTAGTTTGGAAGCAGCAACATGCAGAGGGAGATACAAGGCAAGAGAGTAGAGGGTGACCGAGGTGCGTTGCAGCAGCTTTTGATTTCAATCTACAGGATTTTATCCTTGGAGCTGTGAGGCCATGGCTTCCCTCCTTCTTCGGATATTCGCGTGTTCTTTCTTGTTGGTGTCAGTTTCCACACAAGAGAGGTGAAGTCAGAATCTCGAGTTGCCGGTTATGAGATTGTGTTGCCAGCGTTTTCAAAGCTGCTTCTGTCATCGATGACTTCAATGTCAACGACTTCATTTCATCGGGGTCGAATCCAACTGCAAGAAAAGAAGTGTTCGTATTATTTTACATGTAGCAACTTCGTTGTCCTGTGATTCCCTATTGTGCTAAGAGTTTGCTGCTGTGTTTGTTTCAAAGGCCTTGGTGTGGATACTGCAAGCAAGTGGTACGAAGATTGCAGCTGAATGTCCTCGTGCTGAATCTAGCTCTACAGCTTCCTGTTTGGGATCGTCTGGCAGACCAGCTCCATGGGGACGTGGTGGTTGCAAAGGTGAACCTGGAAGACAATACGCAAATACAGCACAGGTTCCGACGCAAGGTTCTCTATCAAGACATCTCGTCTCCTCCTTCCCTGCTGACTAGCTAGTCATGCAGATCAAAGGCTATCCCACCATGTTGCTGTTCAACGAGGGGAGGATGTATGTGTACACTGGGTCACGGTTAGTGATCGCCTTGTGCGATCAGTTGTCAAAGTGGAATCTGCAGAGACGCCAAGGAACTGAACGACTTTGCTCGGGGAGGATGGAGATCGGCATGCTCAGCTCGTGGAGCGGCATGTGAATGACTTAAGGGATACAGGCTCCGAAAGATCAGACGGCGGATATACCCAAGGATCCTGCTACTCTCAGCATAGTTGAATTTGTGAGAACGTTTCTCTGTCGATCACACACAGTCTGTTTGAAGTGCTTTCTTGCAGACCATGGAGAAGTTGGAGGATTTCTTAACAGGGACGTTGGAAGGTTACCAGGGCATCTGGAATAGTTTTCCTCAAGAGTTCACTGCTGCAGTCGTTACCTCCTTCTCTCTGGTGATATTTGTCTTCCCATGACCGTGTGCCTGGTTGACTTGTGATAATGCAGGGAGCAAGTTTTGGTTTTCTGGTCAAGGTTGGAATAGATTCGTTGTTTGTCCCTCGGAGGAAGATAAAGAAGAAATGAATATGGAAAACTTGATCAAGAGTGATTTATTCGTGCGAGCATACACAACAGCTACCGCACGCTTGTTTTACATATATATATATACATCACATGTACTATCTCTTCACTAAGAAAACATCAATACGAGTTGGAATCCATGAAATCCTCGCAGTCCGCTGACTGGACTTGAAGGATAAGCTCCTGCCCAGTAACTTCAGACATCAGAAATCAACATGATCAACATCGTGCATGTAGAGAAAGGAAATATCATCTCAGACAAAATAAAGATTCCGGAAAAGCTTTCTTCTTCAGCGCGCATCGGAAGAGGGAGCTTTTTTATCATCACAGATGAACAGCAAGTAGGAACTAAGTAACATTTCACACACAAGAACTCACTTTCAATCCAGTCGGTGAGGAGGAGTAGATCCAACAACGTCAGCAGCCCAAGTGTCTGGTCCTTCCTGTCCCTCTCCTCCTCTTCTCTTGCCTCCACCTCTCCTCCCTCTCTCCTCCTCCCTTGCACGTGAAACTCCCTCCTTCTGTCTTCTTCCTGAATCTGAGGCGAGCCCGGAATATATTCTTCAAACTCTTTGCATGACTATATATACTTTACTCAAAGTTAAGTTAAAAATTAGTGAGAGGATAACAGAAGAGAAAAGACAGCAAGAACCAACCCCTATACGGCGAACTGCTGTCCCCCCGGAAAGGCAGCCTGTGTCGGATCAGTGGACCGCACTACTACTACCAACGAGCGGCGGCGAGTGATCAGTGACTCTGTGAAGTCCGGGGCAGTCCGGGGCCCGGCGCCGCGGCCGCCGGTGCCGGTCTTCCGAGGAGTCCGGAGCCTCGGAGAGCCCCGGCCCCCTGGCGCGCCGGCCCGGCCCGGAGCTTGCGGCGGCGGGCGGGCGCCCGGCCGTGGGCGCCGCCGCCGCCGCTCGCCGAGACACACGACCGTGCCATGATGGACTTGCTAAGACTCCCCCCGCCCTCCGACGGGGCCCCGCCGAATTGAAGGTAACGCGCAGGCCGCACAGTGATGGTTGCCCCCGGCCTCCCCCCCGGCGGGTGATCAGATAGCAGGTTGCCAGCCGCGTCCGAGTGACTCAGACGCAACTCG